GCTAATAGCATCGATTTCCCTCTCTACCGATGCCTATCTAGTGTTGCTGTAAGTGAAATTTGACATAGTGATGGTTTCAACTTAGCTTGAGAGGATGGGTGTTTCAAAATTGGGATGAAGCTTTTTGAGAGAGACAAATGGAGATAAAGGATCAGTGGCTTTAGCATATTCTAGCAACTTGACGAAAGCTTCGTTAGGCTCTTGGGTGGCTTGCCAAAAGAGAAGAAAGGGAAGAAATGGAAGAATAGAGCTTGAAATCCAAGGGTTCTAGAGATGAAAGGTGATGCTTGCTCTCTCTGTATGTGTTTATGGGAAAGAGAGGAAGAAGATGGAAGAACACAGCTTGAAATTGAAGTATCCAACAATGAGTAAGGATGTTATTAATTCCCGAAACTCATTAGGTTATTATTAAATCTGATTATTATAAGTGCACACGTATGAGATGATCAAGTTATTGTATATTCTTGATAGTAGTAAGGCTGACATGTTGTTATTGTGAGACAATGTCTATGATGATGCCAATTAGTTTTAATGGGATCACCCTAAAATTATGTTCTAATCAAGCATCCGCCAAGACCAACACCAACCAACTCTAGCAAGGTCTATGATGATGTTATTTATTTATTTAATTTGTTGTGACAATCTTATTTTTATATGCTAATTTTATTTTGTTTCTTGCATGTTTTATTTTAAAAATAAATCAGCATGCCTATTAAAAAAAACAAAAACAATATTGCATCATGTGCATGCAAGAACGTGTATAGAAATACCAATATTATCGTATTAAAGTATTTTATTTATTCATCATTTTACCATTTAGTTTATACCTTTTAAATGTCAAAAGTGTGATAGACTAATTGAAATAAAACTATCATTTCCATCAAAAAAATGTAAATAACATGGGACCAGTTCTTTGCATGTGATAGTATTTTATATACAATCGAAGAATCAATTGCTTGAAAATATAGCACGTTTTCAAACATCAAACACAACTTAATTTACCCAAAATACTTAAATGTTGAGGTATTGAAAGAAATTAAATGTGTAAATATTGAGGGGTTCAATACAAAATTTATTGGAGATACTGGAATTTCCTCCTATGTTGATCTTAGCAATTTACAAAGAATATCAGCTGAGTTCCAGAGGAGGTTGTGTCTCTGTCGAAGAAGATGAGCATGTAATGGCAGACATAATAGTATTAAACTATTAATCACCAGCCTACAAATAAAAAATAATATTTATGTATATTGCCCGCCCAATGGGCTAAGTTTCTTTATTAAACTATTCTTCATAAGGGTTTGCCCACAATCAATCTATGGGGATTATTATTGTTTAAATTCTAAGTATATGTAGTTGTCAAATTTTTTTATATATATTATTTTAGCTTTAAGACTTCTAAATATTGCACATCTCTTGAAAAATTCAAAAATCCGTCACTGGTGTTTCAGCTTTAATCTTTTGGCCCAATGCCAATATATTTTTATAGGAACTCAATTCTCGAAAAATCCAGAGGCTGAGTCAAATAAGTCTGCTAGATGATGATGTTCGGTGGGGGTAGTATTCAGTGGAGGACTCAGACTTTCGTTTATTTGGGGGCTTAAAAAAAAATCTAATCGATATATAGCCAAATAAAAAATATTTGGGCTTAAAGTGAATTTGGTGGCTGAGTTCTCCACAAAATTACAAAATGAGTGAACTTGGTGAGATCTCTGTTCTTCTTTTATAACATAGGATTTTTATTTTTTAATATAAGCTTTGAACTTAAAGTGTATGTATTAGATGGGCCATGTGGGGGCTCCACCTAAGAAGGACTTAAAAAAAAATTAAAAATATGAGGTTGGGTGGGATTATACATCTGCAACTTTTTCGTCCCACAAGCTTCTCAGGAAGTCCCACAATTTTCAATGTAAGCAAAGTGCTCATGTTTCCTATTTGAGTTGGTAAGAGTTTGTTGCTCAACAAAAAGCTCCATCTATAAATTATAGACATCTAACGACCTTCTAGTAAGCAAGCTTAAGAAAAGAGCTCCATCTATTAAAAATTTTGTTAACAAAAATTTGTTCAAACTCAAGAGTTGAGACATGATCTCTACCTCCTTATTTTGTTACATGACATAAACACATAATTAACACACCGTCACAGTTTGCTAAACTATGATTTAGCTGTACTTCATTCAGGTTTGTGATCACAAGTTATTTTCTTGATAAAAGGAAATTTTTATCACTAGAATGAGTATCATTTCACATTTAAATATTTTTTTCATTTTGCATTGACATTCTATCAATTATTGTTCTGCATTTTAATACCCTTTTTATTAATTTTATAGCTTAAAACATGATTAGGAAAGTTAGGTTAATATCTATATATATATATAAAGCAAAAGGCAGAGAATGGTAAAATATTCAAAATTCCAAAAAATGTCTTTGGTGAATGCAAACATTAAGAATTGAAATTATTAATTAAATGAGGATAATATGATAAATTCACACTTTTTCATATTAAAAAAATTAAAATTAAAAGAAAAATCAGATAATAAATCCTATTTTTATGGAACACAACTACCCATTATCTTTTTTAATTCTAAAATAAATTTAAAAATGTTTTAAAAAAAGTATGTTGATAATCGTAGAATCTCTTGACAACGTTATTATATATTTTATTTTGTATCATTTAATTTTTTTTTGTTTTTTAAAGGTGGAAGGGGATATTGACACATCAAAGACAACCGCTTGTAGTTTGGTTAAACAACAAACACAACCATTGGTCCACATATTGAAAGACATCAAGGCAAGAAAAAAAGAATTATAAACTAAACATCATGACATGTGTATTCATATTTGAATTTGCCTAAAAAAATTCTGCAGCTGTTAATGATTTTGTGCGTCTACCTTTTGGTTTTTTTTTTTCCTTTCTTATATATATTTATTCTATATTTCAATTATTATATTTCACTATTTTGTGTTTTTTTTTTTGACTTTCTAATCCCACTCCCTTGAGTAATATGAGCCGCGTGAACTTGGTGTGTCACGTAACCTGTCCTGTTACGGTGATGGAGTGTAGGCGAGATATAGTGGCGGCCCATTTAATCAACTGTCAGAATCTAAGTAGTTGCTCATCAAGTAAGAATTAATTCAGCATCCAGGAAAGAAAAAAAAAGGGAAAATTTTCATTTGAAAAGCTTCCAGATATCTGTTTTCTCAAATATCAAAGACCTTTGGTCCCAAGTCAATATCATCAACCTCAGATCCAATTGAATCAGAAAAAACAAACAACCCAACCTCTTCTGTGTTCCTGTGGACTGTTTTTCTCTGCTCTGGATTGCTTGGTCTGCCCAGTTTGGTTCAAGTATTGTTAGAACAACATCAGTAGCAAACCCATGTCTGGAAATTCAGTTCAACTCATGCTTCAGCTGTTCTCAGGTAAGTCTTTTCTTTGACTCTTATCACTTTTCTGCTTGTGGGTGATGAAAGTAAGAGATTATTATTATTATTTTTTTCCATTTTTAAGAAACCCATATCTGGGTTGTAGAACTGTGTAGATCTGTCAAGTAGGTTTTGGACTCTGATACACAAGTTTTGAGCTTTTTTGAGTGATTCAATCTGTTACTGAAATGGGTCTAAGTCATTGGTTAATTCCTGGATGTTTCATTTGCAATAAACTCTGTTGCTATTTGTTGAACTGTATTCCAGTAAATTATATAACTTTGTTATTGGCATATTTTATTTTTATTTATTTGTTTATTTCTAACTATCAAGACTCGTTCCCTGATTGCCTACACAGTTTGGCCGAGTAGTATTCAGTTATACACATTCAGCCGTTGACAGCGGAGTTTTCTAAAGTTAATGACTGTATATCACTGACGAAAATAGTGTAATTTTAAAACATTTGAGACTGTTGTAGTCCTAATTTGTGCTGAAGTTTTTTCTTTCATAAATGGTGATAAAATTGACTACTTCCGTTCATTATAGGTTAGCGTGGCGGTGACTTATATTTGGTTGGGTTTTATTGGATATCCATAGGTTGCATTTTGTTAATTGCTGCATAATCTTGGAGATAATTAAAAGGAAGAGAAAATGAGGATGAGGAACAAATACAGGAAACCAACCACTTTCCATTGCAATGCAGGGAGCAGATGTTCAACGTCTGCTGTGGTGTGGAGCTTGGTGGGATGTTTTCTTATGTTTCAGCTGTACTCCCTTGTTCACCAAAATGATAGGATGGGAGGAGAAATGGAATTTCGATCAACTCATCACCCACAGTTCCATGAACTTGAAGAGGTGGAAGAGGAAAATATCCAAATTCCCCCACCAAGAAAGCGATCCCCACGTGCTGCAAAAAGAAAACCTAGGCGACCAACCACTCTGATTGATGAATTTCTTGATGAAAATTCTCAAATTAGACACATATTCTTTCCTGGCCAGAAGCATGTTATAGATCCAATGAAGGATACAGGGAATGATAGCTATTACTACTACCCTGGGAGGATTTGGTTGGATACTGATGGAAATCCTATTCAAGCTCATGGAGGTGGTATTCTATATGATGACAAATTGAGGACATACTATTGGTATGGGGAGTATAAAGATGGGCCCACATATCATGCTCATAAAAAAGGAGCAGCCCGGGTAAGTGATTTACTTTTCCTCTGCATCATCTTATGCTCAACTATGTTTTGACTCTAAAATATCAGTCCTTAAGGCTGTTGAGGATGAAATCGCTATTTTTTAAGTTTTTCACTCATTAATTGTTTGCTTTCTGTTTAGAAGCTTTGGGGTTATATAGTTTAAGCTAAATGTAAGTCATTATTGCATATGTGGTTCGTTTCTGTTTCCATAATCCAACCATGAATACCAGTTGTTTTCTGTGCTGACCTCAATGAGCCTAATTTAGTGTGTTGCCTTCATATTACCTGATATCAACTCTAGATTGTGGAATTCAGTTTCTAATTCCTATGCATTTTACCATTGCTATTTTGTATAAGACTTTATCCCCGGCATACCGTACATACTTTACATGAATAAAAATCTCCTTGGAAACCTCTATACAAATTGTTCTGGCAGGTAAGGAGAAAAATACAACTGAATTATCATTTACAATTGTATAACATGCCTTCTTAGTGTGAGCTGGAGTGTTAAGTTGGAGCTTTATTTTCTCTTCGTGGGTCTTGACATGCCAATATCAAAGAGGCAAAGTTCTGGAAACACAATGGTCTGTAGCGATTCCATAGTTGTTGCTTCTTGAACTGTAAATTGCGTTGAGGGTAGTGTGCATAATTGGAAACTTGTTATAGTAATGATGCGTATTACAAAAATAATGACAAAGAATAAGAATGAAGCCGGGGCGAATGCCTAGTAGGCCTTGCTTAGGGCTTTCACCATCGGATAATGTGCTTTCAAGTTCGATAGGTATCGTGCTTTTTGAGATGTAGGGTTTCTTGTTCACCTATCCCATTGAGATTGGAGTCAGCCATGTGAATTCTTTTCAATCATCCAATTGGTTAGTCCTGATGAAGAAGTGTGTCAGGAGCCTCATGGATAATTGCCCTTTTTGGTTCATGTTGGAAATGATGCACAAGAAGAAATCTCCTCCATTTTAGTTGAGAACAACCCATGTCAGTGAAAGATCTGTCAGTTAGATTTTCTAAGTGAAGTAGGTGATTTGTGGATCAGCGTCATTTAAAGAGTAATGAGAACTATCTTTCCAAGAAGTGAAATCTTAAAACTCCGTCGCCTTCAATTTGGAAAGAACGGAACTTTTGGGTACAACTTAATTTTGCTGTCAGCTAAAAATGACATCTGGTGTTTAAGCCTACAGGAGATTTAGTTGTTCGATATGGATTTTGGGGATTGAAAAGGAATGCTTACTCGATGGGTGTTGAAAATATGTGTATGAACTGGATGGTTCTCTGAGGGATTTTTTTTTCCCTTCTTCCAGCAGGCGCTGTTTTAAGGCTTCCAGTAACCCATATGTTGCTGTTATGGACCTCATCATATTGCATTACCATTAGATGCATAGTTTTTTCACCATTGCTGCGCTTGTGAGTGTTTTTTTTTAATTCTTCTCTAATTTTTGTCAGTATTCCTTTTTTATTTCAAGCATTCAATTTCTGTCTTATATGCAGGTTGACATCATAGGAGTTGGTTGCTATTCTTCCAGAGACTTATGGAAATGGAAAAATGAAGGCATCGTATTAGCAGCAGAAAAAACAAACGAAACACATGATCTCCACGAATTAAATGTTCTCGAGAGGCCAAAAGTGATTTACAATGAGCGGACAGGGAAGTATGTTATGTGGATGCATATTGATGATGTTAACTACACCAAAGCTGCTGTTGGTATTGCCATTAGTGATTACCCTACTGGTCCTTTTGATTATCTCTACAGCAAACGACCCCATGGATTTGACAGTAGGGACATGACAATCTTCAAAGATGATGACGGTGTTGCATATCTAATCTACTCCTCCGAGGACAATAGTGAACTTCATATTGGGCCACTAACTGAAGATTATCTTGATGTGACAAACATCGTGAGAAGAGTTCTCGTGGGACAACATCGGGAAGCCCCAGCTCTGTTCAAGTATGAAGGAACTTATTACATGATCACTTCAGGATGCACTGGATGGGCTCCAAATGAGGCACTGGCCCATGCAGCAGAGTCGATCATGGGGCCATGGGAGCCTATGGGAAACCCCTGTGCGGGAGGGAACAAAGTGTCCCGACTTACTACATTTTTTGCACAGAGCACATTTGTGGTTCCTGTGCCAGCATTTCCTGGTTCATTTATTTTCATGGCAGATCGATGGAACCCAGCAGACTTAAGGGACTCAAGATATGTCTGGTTGCCTTTGATAGTAGGGGGACCGGCTGATAGGCCCCTTGATTACAATTTTGGGTTCCCATTATGGTCAAGAGTGTCAATATATTGGCATAGAAAGTGGAGACTTCCTCGGGGGTGGAGTTCTTTGAAATGAATATAGGTTTCCCTCATATCATCTGGTGTATCATACATGAAGGCTATGCTGATTCTTTCACTGGCTTGCCATGGTTGTTGTGTTACTGTAAATGAAGAGCATTTGCAAATTGCATATAGTCCACTTGCGCATGGCACACAAAGGCGTGTGTAGGATGATCAATCTCAAGCACTGTCAATGAACCCCTCATTTTTTTAGATTATGTTAATATTAGCTAGCTTTGAGGCAGAGTGTATGCTTGCAGGGAAAGATTACTTATTATCTAACAGTTTTGCTAATAATCACTTGATGTTGTCCTTAATTGAAGTTCATTATGTGCATGAATGGTATGTATGTCTTTATGTGTGACGGGCTCAGCCACAGATGGGTCTTTGGACCTTTTGCCTGAAGCATACCGAGTGTTTTCTGAAAAATGTCCGGACATCAAAGATCGTATTTAATACGTTTGGCAAGGGTCATTGAAAATGTTGTCCCAGAAAAAAGAAAAAAAAAAAGCGGAAATGTTGTGTCCCCACCATTATTTTTTTATTTTTTATTTTATACAAGTGATATTGGGAGAGGGAAATCGAACTTAGGGCCTTGGGTGCAGGGGTAAATACTCTTAACCACTTGACTATAAGCCCTTTGTCTCTCCATAATTTACATTAAGGTAACCATCCGATGTCGTAGGTTCGATACTCCCTTTCCCGAATATCGCTTGTATAAAAAAATAATAAGAATACAAAATTTTGATTTCAAGTTCCTCCCCAAAAGGGTGTAGGAGTATCAACTTATAAATTACGTTATTAACTAGCGCTTGGCATAGTTTTTATTATTTTTTTAATGTTAGAAGATGTTTCAAGTGCAAATCAAAGGGGTGGCCTTGGTGTGAAACTCGCATGCAAGGCCCACTCATCCGTGAGAGATCTGCTAGGCAGCCCTACACAAGAATTTCTCCAGAGGAACATGTTGTGGTAGTTAAAATGGTCTTCTATTTATTGTCAGATGATTAGTTGTTAGACGTTATTATGAAACATGGCTGATACCCTATGTAGCAGTTACTTAAGAAAATAAATTGACATTAATAAGTGAGGCTCATCATTAGCAGTTCATGAATTCTGTAAGGTATACCAACTTTGATTGGGACCATAATTCCTAACCAACCAAATGTGCTTCCAAATTTGGTCCCCACTCCCTAAACACTTGCTTTCTCTATGACTCAACTGAACGACTGATTCAGTCCAGCAGCAAGTGGTTAGCTAAACTTTCAAAACAAAAAAAAAATCCACAGAAACTATTTTTTTGTTATTGCAGTCTGAAATATGAATAAAACATTGTTCTGCTAAATGTTACCCATTAATCCAAGAACTTTGTCATGCACAAGAAAGTAGTGTAGAAGGTATCAGTTTAGTTATTCCCAAGAGCACACGTCTCAGCTCGAATCAGTACATCGGGAACAGTTTGGTCTCTGAAGCATGAGATAATACGACTTCATCTAGTAAAATCATTTACACATTCAGACTGAGGTTATCCATGGCATTGGCAACTGGCAAAATCTCATGAATATAAGAAAATTTCTCCTGTATAGGTCAGATCCTCTTGATTTTTGAAAATGTTCCTGTTTCAGAGAAGTAGGTGCTTTGAGTTCCACCACCGAGCTGGTGTGCATGTGCCTGTGGATTTGAGAGCTCGATCCCCTGTAGGAAAGAATTTTCCAAATGTAAGAAGTAATTTTCTATGTCACTAGCTTGGAAACCAATGCATTTGTGAATATGAGAGATTTTTCAAGTGTAAGGTAAGAAGTGAAGTTACCTGCACAGGCGTAAATGCTAAACTTGAAGTGAGTCCAGATGTAGCACCACTGCTTCCATAATTCTTTTCCTTGAACCTGAAAATAATAGAGATATTTAGTCATATACCCATTCTTAGCATCATATAGATAAACCCTACATCATTTAATTTCTATAAACAAACCCAAAAAATGACAGCTGGCCCTATTGAATTTAATTTTGATTATTAAATTACTTTGATACCCTATTGAGTATTTTGGGTTTTTTTATGAGGTTTTGAGGTTTGGCTTGTTTTAAGAAATTGATGGCAGTTTTGTAATTTAAAAGAAGTTAAAAGCCTCTTTGTTATGTTGTAAATGGGCTTTGGGTGTGTTTCTAAAGTCCATTTCATATAGGGTATTTTTATAATTTAGGCCCCTATATTGGGTATAATAGTGAATCTCCCAAAATAATATGCAGCTCATGATATCAGGTCAAGGATCATTATCTCATACTTTTAGACAAATAAATCAGCACAGAAACACAAATGACAATCCATATTAAATCACTGGGCCATAAAAGAAGACAACAATTAAAACCAGCAAGGAAAAGTGTACTTCTTAGCGACTTTGGCAGCAAGTTTGCTCTGACCCATTGATACACGCAGCTTGCCACTCCCAGCTTGACCAAGCATTCCATAACCTTCACCCAGTCCATCACCTATTATCAAGGAAGAAAAACATGAGGATTAAGATTAAGAATGTAAATGGTAAACATATTCCATGCAATTGCACAGATCCCAACCATTCATGTAAATGGGAACCCCACTACAATGGAAAATTGAGATCCTCATTGTAGGAAGTGTAAGAATGTAAGTGTTATTGGAATCTCCCAGTCTCCTGTAGAACTTCACAATATGCAGCGCAAAATATAATTCAATTTTTTCCTTTTCTTATTGGGATATAAATCAAAATTAGAGATAAGGCGCACCCTCTGACCACAAGTTTTAACCCCAAAAAACAAAATCCTTCAATATAAGACGTGCATATTGGACCTGTGCATTAAGGATAAAGAAAGAAAAGATCTCAGGATGCCCAAATTCTTTTTCCCCGTGTAATTGGAAAATTAATAATGATCACTCAACAGACCATAGTGACTCAACACAGATGTATAAAATAAAAAGGCAACATAAGAAAATCTACAGATTAAATTTACTAACAGAAGACAGAAAAATACCTAAGGAACTCTCTTCAGGTATACCAAATTGCATCCTATTTGCCAGCTTCCTCATGTCCGTTATTGCATATCTGTAAAAGTAAATATCAGTATATGAATCAACAATTACTAAACAAAGGTAAAACGGTAGAAACACTGCACTACCTTTCCTTCATCTTCCTTAACCGGCGACCACCTCTCTTCTTTTTAGGTTCAGAATCAGGAACCGGAAGTGGTTTAGGTTGTTTTGCAGGAGGAGGCTCCTGCCATTTCTCAATTTTCTTACGTATCTCCTCCCGGAATGCCCTTCCAGTGTTTCCAGATGGATCTCCTCTCGTTGAATCCACCCGTGCTGCAAGTGTTGATTTTGCAGCCAAGAGTCGGCAAGCACGCATCCTCAAAGAAGGGGGTGTAGTTTGAAATATTTCTGTCTGCTCAACATAACCAACACGAAATTGTGATGTTGCAGTGGAAAACCCAGCAAGGTTTTTTCTCTTAGCACCAAGAAGCTGAACATTACAAGCAGGCATCTTAGCTAAGGATACGAGACCGCCAGCTGTCCCCATTAGTTTCGCCGCAACAGCACTCCCAACTATAGCAGAAAGATTTGGTGCAATAAAGCCCATTCTACTTTCAACGAAATCAAGAACCTTCTTCTTTGATGAATCAAGAGCAAGGGCTCGATCGCATGCCTCATTTGTTTTTGTAAGGACTTCCTCTGGAAGCGGCTTGCCACTTGTAGTTGATGCTGTAACTGACACAACCATAATAATTGCCGAAGGTAAAAGCCCCTCCAGATCAACAAGGGTTACATCCATTTCATTCCCAATTTTCTTAACAACTCGGGCGTAATCAATCGGATGATGCACAAGTGATTCAAGCTCTGGAAACTTTGGGCGATACTTATCACGAATAAAATTGTGGATGATTACAATTTCATTCTCAATGTCAACAGACAAAGCATTACAGTCCACAATCAGCTGGTATTCTGGATCATCTTCTAAAACCATTCCATGACTTGAAATATCAGAACCCTTCTCCAAAGCCTCTTCCACTTTCTACAATTTAAACACCGTATTCCAATTACATACATGTCATTAAGCACATTCCAGTAATAAAAATGGAAAAAGATGATGGGGCAGGGGGAACATAGAACAGTACTGAACCACAAAGGAAGAACACATATAAGTACTTTTAAAATAAACACCAAAATTAGTTTCAATGTTGAATGGTTTTTAGTTTCAATTTGATCTACTCTCACTCTTCTCTTCCTTACCTCTCTTGTATTTCTTCTATAAATTATCTTTTTTAACCTCCTCCTGTCTTTATTTAAAAACAAAAACCAAAAACTTCATCAAACAGGGCACACAATACATGTTTAAAAAGCCATGTCCATTAAGTTAAACCCCCACCCCAACAAAAAAAAAACATGTTAACTGCAACAGCAGTCATCCTAAATGCTAATGCATCAAAGAAAAGGATAAGCATTAAGAATATATAAAAACAGTAAAGAAGTCAAAAGATCATGTTTGAGCACAAAATAATATAAAGATTTCAATACTAGAAAGTACTCCATGAAGAAAATCGGGACATTCATATTATAACAAACCTGCATTATATCAGTATATCTTTGCGTTTTCTGCAATTTTGAAACACTATCCAGGTCATCGTAATTAAGCGTTTCCAAGTCTGCCAAGTCCCCATCAATATCTTCTTCCATGTTTCCAGCATCAGCATCATCTTCAACCTGCAAAAAGAAAAAAAAAAAAGTAAGTACTTATAGTGCAGAGATTGAGAATTTGATATAGAAATGAAATTTTAACATCTCATTGACTAGCTTTGTAAATGTTGGTCGTCATGATTTAAGGAAGAATATACTCACAACAACATCAGCTTCATTGTCAGATAGTTCATCAAGGTCTGCAAGAAATGAATCAGCGAGAGTCGCCTGCAATTACCCCAGAGGAATGTCAAAATTATGTAGCTTACTCCTAAATTTGTTACAGCATCATTAAACTAAGAAAGTAGATTTTAGTGCAACTCAGAAACCAATAAAGCTTAGCAAGGAGTACAAAAGCAAATAAATAACTCACCATCCTTTCAGGTTCAAGCGGCGTGAGCTTCCAACAGTTAGTGCCTGATAAAACTGAAAATTAAAACTCAGAAATTCAGAATCTTTATACAGAAATTAAACTAAGCAGAAAACCCCATTTAGTAATCATATTTATAGCTCGAAAATTCTTTTATTTGAAAAAGAAAAACAGAGTTCTAGCAAACAGAAAGCACACCAGACCCAAATTCTCAAATTTTAAATAAAAATCAAATCAGAAAATGAAATGTGAAAGAAAGTAGATATGAAAAAACATACCGTAAAGAAAATTCAGAAATTAAACCCTAAATTAGACATACCTGAGGAAGTAGAGCCGATTAAGAAGAACAAACTGGGGTATGAATTGGATGTGAAAACGAAAAATAAGAAAGGGATGGGCCGCTGGGACGAGACTATGAGTTACCGAAGAAGTTCAGGAATCAGAAGAGGATTGGATGAAGAAGATGATGAACGAAAATTAGAAGAAAGAGAAAAGAAGCGGGTGAACTTAGACGCGCAGCAGAAGGGCGGTGAGGGATGGGCTGCGCTGGGCCGAAAATAATACAAGTTCTTTGTATTTTATGGGCTGATTGGCTAGCCTAAGCTAGCCCGCTAATAGCTCAGCTTCGGGCCTACTAAAAGAAAGAGAAGATTAACGTGACATTTATCGCTAAGAACGGCAGTGTGACATCTACATGATGTTATTAATTTACACATATACACGTGTATTTATATATTAATATTATATTCTAGGTTCATGACATATGAACTATATTCTTTACTCATATTATAACATGTGGCAGTATGCAGTCACACATTAAAATTTATCCTCAGAATGAGACCGAAATATATACCATAATATATCGAAGTATTTACTGAAATATTAGTGAATCTGATACTAATACTAAACTACCACCAATATTGCTAATACTTCTAATATGGATTGTATATATTAGCGAGTTAGGTCTATTGTTGAGGATGCCAACTAGGGAGATTCACTATTATCGCCTGCAATTACCCCAGAGGAATGTCAAAATTATGTAGCTTACTCCTAAATTTGTTACAGCATCATTAAACTAAGAAAGTAGATTTTAGTGCAACTCAGAAACCAATAAAGCTTAGCAAGGAGTACAAAAGCAAATAAATAACTCACCATCCTTTCAGGTTCAAGCGGCGTGAGCTTCCAACAGTTAGTGCCTGATAAAACTGAAAATTAAAACTCAGAAATTCAGAATCTTTATACAGAAATTAAACTAAGCAGAAAACCCCATTTAGTAATCATATTTATAGCTCGAAAATTCTTTTATTTGAAAAAGAAAAACAGAGTTCTAGCAAACAGAAAGCACACCAGACCCAAATTCTCAAATTTTAAATAAAAATCAAATCAGAAAATGAAATGTGAAAGAAAGTAGATATGAAAAAACATACCGTAAAGAAAATTCAGAAATTAAACCCTAAATTAGACATACCTGAGGAAGTAGAGCCGATTAAGAAGAACAAACTGGGGTATGAATTGGATGTGAAAACGAAAAATAAGAAAGGGATGGGCCGCTGGGACGAGACTATGAGTTACCGAAGAAGTTCAGGAATCAGAAGAGGATTGGATGAAGAAGATGATGAACGAAAATTAGAAGAAAGAGAAAAGAAGCGGGTGAACTTAGACGCGCAGCAGAAGGGCGGTGAGGGATGGGCTGCGCTGGGCCGAAAATAATACAAGTTCTTTGTATTTTATGGGCTGATTGGCTAGCCTAAGCTAGCCCGCTAATAGCTCAGCTTCGGGCCTACTAAAAGAAAGAGAAGATTAACGTGACATTTATCGCTAAGAACGGCAGTGTGACATCTACATGATGTTATTAATTTACACATATACACGTGTATTTATATATTAATATTATATTCTAGGTTCATGACATATGAACTATATTCTTTACTCATATTATAACATGTGGCAGTATGCAGTCACACATTAAAATTTATCCTTAGAATGAGACCGAAATATATACCATAATATATCGAAGTATTTACTGAAATATTAGTGAATCCGATACTAATACTAAACTACCACCAATATTGCTAATACTTCTAATATGGATTGTATATATTAGCGAGTTAGGTCTTTTGTTGAGGATGCCAACTAGGGAGATTCACTATTATACCCAATATAGGAGCCTAAATTATAAATAAAAAAATCAATATGAAATGGACTTTAGAAACACACCTAAAGCTCATTTACAACATAACAAAAAAGCTTTTAAATTACAAAACTACCACTGATTTCTTAAAACAAACCCAACCCCAAAACCTCATTAAAAAAAAAGAGATATTTAGTCATATACCCATTTTTAGCACTAATAATATAGATAAACCCTACACCATTGAATTTCTATAAACAAACCCAAAAAATGATAGTTGGCCCTATTAAATTTAAGTTTTTTGAACCATTGGATTAATATCCAACGGTAGGTGACCACAATTTCTTGGACTCCTGTGGTCCAAGAGATCAGGACTGTCACTATTATACCCAATATAGGAGCCTAAATTATTAAAAAAAATCTATATGAAATGGACTTTAGAAACACAACCAAAGCTCATTTACAACATAACAAAAAGGCTTTTAAATTACAAAACTACCACTGATTTTTTAAAACAAACCCAACCCCAAAACTTCATTAAAAAAAAGAGATATTTAGTCATATACCCATTCTTAGCACTAATAATATAGATAAACCTTACACCATTGAATTTCTATAAACAAACCCAAAAAATGATAGTTGGCTCTATTAAATTTAAGTTTGATTATTAAATTACTTTGATACCCTATTGAGTATTTTGGGTTTTTTAATGAGGTTTTGGGGTCGAACTTGTTTTAAGAAATTGATTGCAGTTTTGTAATTTATAAGAGTTTAAAAGACACTTTGTTATGTTGTAAATGAGCTTTGAGTGTGTTTCTAAAGTCCATTTCATATAGGGTATTTTTATAATTTAGGCCTCTATAATAATAGTGAATCTCCAAAAAAAAAAAACCCAAAACACTCAATAAGGCATCAAAGTAATTTAATAATCAAAATTAAATTCAATATAGCCAGCTATTATTTTTTGGATTTATTTATAAAAATTATATGGTGTAGGGTTTATCTATATTATTAGTGCTAAGAATGGATATATAACTAAATATCTCTTGTTAAGGAAGCTATGGGTATTGCCAAACTCACATTGATCTTTTGTATATATTCATCACGATACTGAAGCTTATGACCATGATACCTATCCACGAACAAGAACCTCTGTATGCCATACTTTCTAAGGTTGTAAGAAATACAAACAAGAGAAATGATTTGAACAGTAGTACCGCGTGACTATACTCTATGAATAGAATATTTTAAATATTGGCCAAAGTCTTTGGCCAATATTCAGCAAGTAATGTATTATGTAGGAACACTTACAGATCAAATATGGCTTTAAATATTGGCCAAAGTCTTTGGATTGCATCTGCCACAGCTTCTGCAGGATTTACATATCTTGAATTGATATTTACTAGCATGTTTAGCACATCTCAACAAAATAAAAAGAAATAAGGGGTATAACAACAAGATATTGATCATAAGTACCTAAAGATATACCCAAATCGATCAATGTGAACAGTAAAATCACGAGCAGGCTTGCTATTTAATGTGTCTGGGCCTTGGCTGACAACTTCCTGGTTGTTGACAGCATTAATTCAGTATCATCACCCACAGAAGAATTTATATGTACACTTTCTTCTGGAAATGAATTACACACCTGTAAAGGAGTAACGACGGGCAAGCACAACGCCTCCAAAGCCCTCTTAGCGTGGTCACTGGTCAGGTGGAAGTTCAGTAATGACCTTGCTGCAGAAGAGAGTTCAGTAGATGTTCAGATCATCAACAGCATGGTACTAGATTGATCACGCAGCGTCAGAAGATGCAGAAGATATAGTTTACCTTAAGGCTTCAACTAGATGCAACGAGTCCTCAGCTGAACCATCCATGACAGATGAACTATAAGTACTAAAAATACATTACCTGTCTGGAGTACTTGAGGATGTTGAGGTAGTTTTAGAAGCCTATCCATAACCTGTTCAAATAAAATAAAAAAACCCCAAAAAAGTGAGTATTATTAGATCATACACCTTGGGAATTACTTCATTCTCAACTACTATATATCTTCTTTGAAAAGGATCACTCCTTCAAAGAAGATATATCAATCCTTGAATATTTCAGACAGTGCCTTTCAAGCCTGAACATTACTAGTATTAAAGAACTGGCTCAAGCTTTGGCCTCTGATTCTCCTTATGAAGTTCCAATATCTACCATTAAGATTAGACATCTGCATTGCCAGAATGCCAGGTCAGTTCTAAGTTCTGACTATTGATCAACTCCGTGCAGGTATACCCTTTAAATAGAATATTTAAAACGTATAGCCGTACGGCTATACTATATAAATAGAACATTTAATGGTATAGCCAGACGGCTATACTCTTTGAATAGAAAATTTTTACTCTATACTCTATAAATAGAATATTTTTTACAGTACGGCCGCGTGGCTGTCCTCTATGAATATTTTTTTTACTGTATAGCCGTACGGCTAGACTTCTCAACTACTATATATCTTCTTTGAAAAGGATCACTCCTTCAAAGAAGATATATCAATCCTTGAATATTTCAGACAGTGCCTTTCAAGCCTGAACATTACTAGTATTAAAGAACTGGCGCAAGCTTTGGCCTCTGATTCTCCTTATGAAGTTCCAATATCTACCATTAAGATTAGACATCTGCATTGCCAGAATGCCAGGTCAGTTCTAAGTTCTGACTATTGATCAACTCCTTGCAGGTATACCCTTTAAATAGAATATTTAAAACGTACAGCCGTACGGCTATACTATATAAATATAACATTTAACGGTATAGCCAGTCGGCTATACTCTTTGAATAGAAAATTTTTACTCTATACTCTATAAATAGAATATTTTAACAGTATAACCGATCGGCTATACAATTTGAATAGAAAATTTTTACAGTACGGCCGCATGGCTGTCCTCTATGAATATTTTTTTTTACTGTATAGCCGTACGGCTAGATTATAAATAGAATATTTTAACAGTTTAGCCGTTCGGCTATACTCTTTGAATAGAAAGTTTTTAAAGTATAGCCGCGCGGCGATACGCTAGCTGGGCGGTTATACTTTGTAAATTTTTAACAGTATAGCCGCCCAGCTATACTCTTTAAATATAAGATTTTAACGGTATAGCCGCGCGGCTATACGACTTAAATTAGAAAGCAGGCATGCCTCTCACATCTTTCTTGTGGTTGTGACAAATTAGTGCAATAGAAGAATGTCCAAATGGAATGTAATGTGGTATTTCATTGCTTCCTCCATTAAGTTGAAGTTCAGTTGTATGACAATTATTAGAGATATTTAGTCATATACCCATTCTTAGCACTAATATTATAGATATACCCTACACCATTTAATTTCTATATACAAACCCAAAAAATGACAACTTGCCCTATTGAATTTAAGTTTGATTATTAGGGAAACAAGTGCATCAAGGATCTTGATTGAATGATGAATTTCAAACTCTCTCACAGACAGATATACAGTAAACATAAATAATGTGGACACAAAACAAAAACAAATAATGTGTGGAAAGGTTGTGCTTCACCCGGCCAGATTTCAATTAGGCTCAAACATAGGTTTATCTTACAAAAGGCTTTACACGATCGAATTCTGATCAGAAACATAACAACTGTGACTTCCAAGATCGATTGCATTTATATACATGCTAAAGAACATGAACAAGTTGATGTGTTGAATTGGAATGCAATGCTCAGCAAGCTTTCCTTTGTTTAAAGAAGTAAATCATAATTTAGATGAACGGCTAGATAGAGCATGACTAACGAGCTCCCTCCTCAAGATCTTTCCTGCTGGAGATTTTGGAATGGAGTTGATAAACGATACATGTCGAATCTTCTTGTAGGGTGCAACCTGCAATAAGATACCAACTTCAATGTGATGGCCTGTAACATACAACTTCAAGAGAACTGGAACTTTGGATGTATGGATGTTAATTCTGAAAAGAATCAATTGGATTTTTTTACAAGTATTCAGGAGCATACTTGTTTTGCAACAAAATCCATAATTGCAGCCTCATTGATATTGCTTCCAGGCTTTCTAACTACACAGGCCATGGGAATCTGCCCTGCTTCTTCATCAGGATACCTGCTTCAGAAACGCCAATGGGCAGAAATCAGAACTAGTATACCTTGAGGAGGTAAACAAATAAATGAAATATACTGCAAATTCTTTCAGAAACTATGATCTTCTACCATGTAACCATGATACTAACTATGCAAGAAAGTGGAGGCAAAAGACCAGATTTCTCATAAAGGCAAACTTATCGGCAAAATATCCGTCAAAATTTTCTTCAATGATCTCATAAGTTCTTGAATTTCTTTTGTTTTTTGTTTTTTGTTTTTCTATGTACCAGTTTCTTTTCCCAGCTAAATACTTTTAAAAAATTTCAAAAGTGACAAATAAGAGATTAAAGTCGTCAATTGATAGATTGATGCCATAGAGCATGGAAAGAAACTAGCTTTTCACAAGCAAAGAATGTCATAGTACTAGATACATACGGAATCACAGCGGCATCGGCAATGTCGGGATGGGATTGAAGTATAGGTTCCAACTCAGCTGGGGGTACCCGCAATTTGTTCCAGACATAGGGAGACCAACCAACACATTACTCAAATGGACTTATCAAATACTTATACAACCATCTTTGTTATGAGTTTAACTCTCAAAGGATCTCTCTTGCAACCACCTGATAGGTCTTGTACTTGATCAATTCCTTTAACCTGTCAACAATGTAGAGGAACCCCTCATCATCAAAGAAACAAAGATCACCCGTCTGAAACCACCCGTCTGAGTCCAGTTGCCTTATTAACAGTATAGCCGCGCGGCTATACTATATCAAAAGAATATTTTAAAAGTATAGCCGCGCGGCGATTCTCCGTAAATAAAATATTTTAACAGTATAGCCGCCCGGCTATAATCTGCAAATAGAATATTTTAACCGTACAGCCGAGCGGCTATACCCTTTAAATATATACGAATTTGTTTAAGAAATATTTCCATATTATTCCAATTACATGTTTCTTCCGTTTTTGTTTTTACCTTTCTCTTATTTGCAAAATGTTTGCTGGCACTTGTTAATTTACGCATTTCAGACTAGTTGTCTTGATCATCAATGGCAATTCCAGCTTTCTCTCTCTCTCTCTCTAGATGTAATTTTAGAACTAAAAATTTGGGAAAGAAAAATTATATTTAGAAAGACAACATAAGAACAGAAAAATTATATGCTCTTGGTTTTGGATCCATACATGAAGCAACAACTCTAGTGAAAAGAGAAACTCTGGGGGACCTGTCTCTTCAACCGGTGCGAAATGGAATCACAATCTGCATCGTTTGGAGTGCTCCCGTCAACAGATTCTAACACAAAATCGCTACGTTTTTCAAGGGGTGATTTCCTTGACAGGTATCACAGTTGAATCACATAACGAAACACACTGGATTCAATATATAAATTTAGCAAAAACCCTCTAGAGTAGCTTTAACGAATTCATATTAACATTTTAGAAGGGGGATCAGTGAGTGAACTCACAGCGTATTTGCATCTGCACAGAGACTTCATTGTCCCAAGCACGACTTCACCAGAAACATTCAAAACACGGATTAGAATAAGGAAAGGAGACTAAGATATATTCAGCAAGTAATGTATTATGTAGGAACAACACTTACAGATCAAATATGGCTTTAAATATTGGCCAAAGTCTTTGGATTGCATCTGCCACAGCTTCTGCATGATTAACATATCTGGAATTGATATTTACTAACATGTTTAGCACATCGCAACAAAATAAAAAGAAATTTATCATACCTGTCTGAAGTAGTTGAGGATTTTGAGGTAGTTTTAGAAGCCTATCCATAACTTCTATAAAGGACAATAGTAAAATTCGAATTGATGTAGAAAAGAAATTTGGACAACATCATACCTTGGGCATTACTTCAGCTGCGACTGCTGAAACATAACTTGATATAGCCCAGAGGCCGCACAGCTAAATAGAATATTTAAAAAAAATGCAGTGACAAAAGAAGCTGCGAAAAAGGCTAAGGTAGAAAGAAAAATATGTTGATTATAGAGGAGAGGAGAAACAAGAGAATTTATAGTAACATGAAGATACGCCAACGACTCTCAATTTGGTAGAGGATCTTAAGGATTAGCCATTAGGCTCTGATACCATGCCAAAACATGAGAAGTTAGGATATGAAAATATAAGAGAATATGAAAATGAGAGAAGATAATTTTCTGGTTTTCAACTTGTATTCAGTTTTCATTGATTCTTCTTTTTATTACAAGCAAGCATATTTATACAAGTGGAAGTACAAGTAAGACAAAATACCTTGAGCTCCCAACCTTTGAATTCCCAAGGTCAAGCCTACCAAATTAGGCAACCAAACCATTCTTCCCTAAATTAAGGTAGGCTCCTAACCTAATTCTACCAATTCCATTAATGACTAAACTAACTAATTCATTAATGAGCTAGTAGACTAATTCAACATATGACAAATGCTAACAACAACTCTAGTGAAAAGAGAAACTCTAGGGGACCTGTCTCTTCAACCGGTGCGAAATGGAATCACAATCTGCATCGTTTGGAGTGCTCCCGTCAACAGATTCTAACACAAAATCGCTACGTTTTTCAAGGGGTGATTTCCTTGACAGGTATCACAGTTGAATCACATAACGAAACACACTGGATTCAATATATAAATTTAGCAAAAACCCTCTAGAGTAGCTTTAACGAATTCATATTAACATTTTAGAAGGGGGATCAGTGAGTGAACTCACAGCGTATTTGCATCTGCACAGAGACTTCATTGTCCCAAGCACGACTTCACCAGAAACATTCAAAACACGGATTAGAATAAGGAAAGGAGACTAATAAGATATATTCAGCAAGTAATGTATTATGTAGGAACAACACTTACAGATCAAATATGGCTTTAAATATTGGCCAAAGTCTTTGGATTGCATCTGCCACAGCTTCTGCATGATTAACATATCTGGAATTGATATTTACTAACATGTTTAGCACATCGCAACAAAATAAAAAGAAATTTATCATACCTGTCTGAAGTAGTTGAGGATTTTGAGGTAGTTTTAGAAGCCTATCCATAACTTCTATAAAGGACAATAGTAAAATTCGAATTGATGTAGAAAAGAAATTTGGACAACATCATACCTTGGGCATTACTTCAGCTGCGACTGCTGAAACATAACTTGATATAGCCCAGAGGCCGCACAGCTAAATAGAATATTTTAAAAGTATAGCGGTGCGGTTAGACTCTATAAAATTGGGATATACAAAATTATGATCTCACTGCTGTATTAGCTATGATAAATCATGGAAACAAGTTGTTCCCAACAATCAATGAGTGTGAGACAACCACGAGAATAGATAGATAAACTTTCCTACCAAAGTAGTTTACACATCCAGCAAGATGAAAAATTTGTGCTAAATGCAGAATCTTGAACAAGGTTTGATAATTAATACAGAATGAGTCAAAGGGAGAAACTGACAGTAAATTGTAGTAAAAGTTTTTGTTAATTTAAGTTTCAGGTTCTGTTTTCAACTAAAATTCATTTTCACATAACCTCAACTAGCCAATACATACAATTACATCAACTCAACTATCTGCATCAAGTTTTTATCCCCCAACAGTAGAATTACTCAGGTAGAAATATAAAGCATAAAATGAAAAGGAAAGAAATTAAATAAGGGAGGTATGGGTATACATTGATCTTCTGTATATATTCATCACGGTACTGAACCTTATGACCATGATACCTATCCACCAACAAGAACCTCCTATGCCATACTTTCAGGTTGTAAGAAATACAAACAAGACAAAATGGCGGCCACTAAGAGAATATTTAAAGATATTCGTATACATTTAAAGGGTATAGCCGATCGGCTCTACTCTAGAAATAGAATATTTTAACGGTATAGCCCCGCGGCTATACTCTAGAAATAGCATAATTTATAGAGTATAGCCGTGCGGCTATACTCTATAAATAGAATATTTTAACAGTATAGCCGAGCCGCTATACTCTTTAAATATAATATTTTAACAGTATCGCCGGGCGGCTATACTCTTTAAATATAGAAATATTTAAATAGTATAGCCCCGTGGCTATACGCTTTGAATAGAATATTTTAACGTGTCGCCGCGCGGCTATACTCTATAAATGGAATATTTTAAGAGTATAGCCGTGCAGATATACTCTTTAAATAGAATATTTTAAAAGTACAGCGCGGCAATACTGTATAAATGGAATATTTTAACAGTATAGCCATGTGGCTATACGCTTTCAATAGAATATTTTAAAAGTATAGCCGTGTGGCTATACGCTATAAATGGAATATTTTAATAGTATAACCGCGCGTCGATACCCTTTAAATATATACGAAAAACTTGTAGGCTTCTATTTCTCTCAGCTTCAATGGAAGATTCATTGACAAACGAATACGAATCCCTGGAAGAGTAGAGCTACTATAGTCAATACTTGTTTACGCAGGATCAAGTAGGCTGTAGTTCTAGAATGACTGACCTTTTGGTTAAGTTCACCTGAAGACTTCGCCAAAAATTGACTGTCATGGAGGCGATATAGTACTAGTGGGTGTGAAGCAACTTCCAATAATGCATGTACAATCAACATTGATTCATCTGAACCTGAATACCAACTAAAAACAAAAAGATCAGAAACAGTTCAAGAGATGAAGTTCAAAATATTGTAAAAGTTTCTCGAACTGTATAAGCATTCAACAGTAATGTTGAACTTAATCTCTTGAACTATTTCTGATTTATATAAACGAAAATTTAAATAGTACAACAGAGCGGCTATACTCTTTAAATGTATACGAATTGTTTAAGAATTATTTTCATCTTCCAATTACGTGTTTCTTCCGTTTTTGTTTTTTCATTTCTCTTGTTTGCAAAACGTGAGGTGAAAATTTAAAAATTCAAAGAAGGTGTTATGTTTTGAATCTGTTGCTAATTGAGTTTTTCCTTTTCTTTTTTTGGTCAAAAATAGATTTGACAATCCCACATCCGAAGACACCGGAGAGGTGTGAATTATATATTTGCTTTATTAAAAAAAAAAAAGGGATTTTATGGACAAAAGATTTTCTCAGCCCAATAAGGTATTGAGTTGTGAATTTGCTGAAGCTTCATGGCCCAGCTTGATTGCTTGATCCTCATATCAATGGGCTTTACCTTCCTTTTGTGCATTGGGCTACGATATAACTTGTAGGTGGCTCCATCCATATCACACCGAGTAGAATTCTATAAGCGCTCACTATAGAATGACTCATCAAACTGAATATAAGCGATAATATAATAAGGGGTTCTGAAAGCTGAAAATATGTTTGGTAACATATTGGTAACATATTTTGATTTCAATTTTCATGAAAGTGAAATCTAGTTGTTAAAATCACCCTTATTTTTCAAAACAACTTGAAAGTGTTTTTTGTTTTTTGTTTTTTGCGTTCTTTTTTCATTCGCTAATTTTACATCACCGAACATGAAATGCACTCCAATT